CCAGTAATGGCTGGCCTTGACTGATTATATTTTTCCCTAGCAGCTGCTTTTTGTCTAGTGGGTCCGATGACAGATATCGTCTTGGGTTTTTCCTTAAATGCTTCTTGTGTGGTTCTTGTTTTGTCAACTTTTGCACACCCACAGCGTGGGATACATTTCACCACTCGAGAAAGTTAGTTTTGAATCTGGAGAGATGCTAGGTTTTGGCAGAGGCCCCACAAATGCCTGATGGATCATGGTTCCTATGGCAAGGACACATTGTTGTGTTAATCACACACAGAGAACCATTTTCCTCTGAGCCTGTCTCCCTTCTGCAGAACTCAACACAAGCAGGAAGGCAAATCAAGAGCTGCACAGGAAGAACTGCTTTGACAATCAGAGTAAGATGCACAATTAGCCCTGTGTAACCCCTTCTGCAGTCATTAGCTTTTCCCAGTTGCGTGTCCTTGCATATTTGTGTCTCTTTATTACACACACACCGTAAAGATGAATTTGATTCCATGTTGGGTGTTGATTATTATTTTAAGCATCAGCTGTCTCTTCTAGAATCAATGTCAGGACTTGAATTACTGAAGATGAAAGTGGCACCTGTCTGGTGTGACGATCGAGTTCCAGGAGGTCCGTGTGGCTCTAATACAGCCTCACCCCACTCAGGGTCCCAGAGTTGGCCACAGAGCACTGGTTTGAAGTCAAAATAATGAGATTTTATCTGTCTTGTGATAGTTGCTTAACAAACTAATCATGCATCAGTTCTGAATCAACTGCTCACCCTCTCAAGTCAGGAACAACAGTGTCGCTGGACATGGAAAACCCCCTGCATGTGAGGACTGCATCTGAGAACAGCATTGTCCTGGGAATCGAAACCCACAACAGGACATAGATCTCTGTCCATGCATCTATGTCTCCATGCACTTTGATCTCTAGGAAAATGACTGTGCTTTGGACAGCACTGGAGCTTTTCACAGTGGAGAACAGGAAACTATGAGAGACAGGGAACTGGACCAAGTATGTTTGCTGGTCCCCTCAAATCCTCTTGGCACTGCCAACCCCACACAACCAGTCGTCACCTGGACTCAACCAAGAACCCTGATATATAAAACACCAAGCTCTTACACAGATGCAACATTCTCTAAAAGCACAGGCCAAGCTAGCAGGGCCCAAACCTCTGCCTCAAAAGACTTGCAAGGCTTCCCTAGAGGCCCAGCACTAATTGAGCAAATTCACCCATGTAGGAGGCAACCGAAAGGACTTTTGGTATAGCTACCAATGTGAACAGGTGAGACTAAAGAGTCAAAGTGGCTTAGACACTAAAAGTCTGACAATTTCATTTATGCTCACAAACTGGTAGGGTGTAGGGAAATGAAAATTACAAACAGGGAGGTGTGGGAAATAGAAATTACAACTCATATAAATATATATATATATATATATATATATATATATATATAATATTTCAGTTAGAACTACATACAAGGAGAAAATTTAAAATTCTCTCTATATCCTCTCTAGAGGCTTCCTTTGGTTTAAAGGACAGCAGCCCCTAACACAGCTAACAGGCACTCTGGTCACTTCTCAGGCATCCAAGGAGGGGCTATCACACACTGCAGCACCCCCTGCATGTCTGCGGCGGGTTCGGCCACATAGAGGACCATGAGCAAGAAGAATCTGTGGTGATTCCTTCAATGGCTGGAAAATGGCTCCACATTCCCAGGAATATTGGTAAGAGGGAGGCTCACGAATGAGATAAAATCGCTGCTACCCTAAGACTCAACACCAAGTCTCAAATTACTCAGCCAAACCTGGCAAATTCCAGTGTTGGGGTTCAGAGAAGCTGGTCTCAGTCTCCAGACAATGTTAATTAATCACATGAGCACTAATAGTCTGTGTTAGTAACACCTCATACACACACACACACACCCCAAAAGAGCCTGCTCTTAGCCCTGATGTCAGAATGTCTTCCCTTCCCACAAATATCCCCAGTGCTTTATAATGATTCTCATCATTTCCTCCAAAAGTAGTGTAGAGCAATTTGGTTGCCAGCGTTTGGAAGCCAAATTGGTATAATCTGTGTCCTATCGCACTCCTGAACACCATCAGTGAAAACATCCCAGGAAATATAATTGGCAAACTAAGTACACGCAAAGATAATGAAACCGGCTGGGCCCCAGTTGGCCCTTGCCATTTCTAAGTTGTTATTTTTCATTGACTTGGCTTACTGTGCCTCGCTTTATAAGTTAATGCAGGTTCCGAGGATGATTTTACACTCAGGGAGTATGAGATAACACAGAAGCATAAGACTAATGGGAAATTAGATTATGCACTTACTAGAAGGAAAAATCTGTTCCGCTGTTGCTCGGTATCACATTTATCAGCAGCAGTTCTACTTGCGAAGAAAATTGTCTGAGATATCCAACAGCCTTGTGCCGCACAAGCGAGCCTTCGTTTTATGATCAGTGTGATGTGTGGTCAAGCAGCATCAGTCCCGCAGGGATGAAAGACACCATCTGGCTATGGATGCATTGCACTAATAAACAAAGGTCTTGCTTGTTTTTAAAAAAATAAGACCAGCCAAATCCATAGAGCAGAAAGTAAATGTACAGCCACTACTCAGGCATAGAAACATAACCAAACCACAGTGTGCACAAATGCATTTGAAACTTCCTCGTGAGGCCATCCCTTTCACATTCAAATTCCACTGCCACAACACCATCTCACCTACCATCGAATTCTAAGAGTGAGGGTGATGGACGCTAAAACAAGAAAATCACCTCACACTAAAAACACCCGGTTCAGTGACTGCATGGGGCTGATTGATCTGATTCAAAACACTGCTTCTGGAAGCAGCGTTGAAAATGCATGGAAACGCTCCAGGTTGCAATGCCATGTGGAGAGCCAGGTCAGCAGAACCCTGTCCTCAGCTCCCCAGCTGCCTCCGTAAATAGGCATCATACAAAAGGAGCATAGAAAATTAAATCTGGGAGGGATTAGAAGTCATGGGGAAGTGTGATGTGCTAAGGGTTTCCCTGCAGAAAATGAAAGGGTCACAAAGTTTCCTGGGTGCCCTTCGTTGTGAAAAACATGCTCAATGGTGCTCATGAAAGCAATGCAAGCCTTTGTTCAGGACCATGACCAGAGGCACAGGGACCGCCATCCTGAGATCTGTGGGTGGGAGAGAGATTGTTCTCAGCTCTGAACAGCATGAGCAAGTAGAAATTTAAGAGGCTGTGCAGATGGAGCATTACTAAGAAGCTATATCATGAGTCTATGGTCTGAATGTCTCCTCCAGAACATGCATTGGAATTCAATTGCTATTGTAGCAGTCGGAAAAGGTGAGACTCTTGGTGATGAGACCACGAGACTGTCCACCATTGAGAATGGGTGACACCACCACTGTGGGAGTGCATTAATGCTTACAGGAGGTTGGCCTCTTGACTCCCCTGTCACAAGGTCTCTGTCACATTGGGATATAGCAAGAAGACCCTTGTCAGAGGCATTCTCCAGACTCCACAGCTGTGAGCCAAAAAAACTTCTCCTATGTATAATTTACCCAGCATGGCAACCTCTTCCAACAGCAGAAGTCAGTCAAAAGCAATGAGCAAGGGAGATTCTGACTGAAATGACCTAACAAGGTTCTCACTGGAGACAGCTAGCACAAAAAGACATCATGAAACAAGAAGATTCTTGCTAAACTTAGCAGGGCTCAGGCTAAAATTGCATTTACAAGGAAGGGCACAGATGGGCATAGGGAAAGGGTCAGGGCTGACTAAGCTTAGCCAACCAAAGATTTTGATACCATGCTGTCTCACTGTGTCTGTGGTATCAGTTTTGGGGGGAGGTTGTGAAATATGAGTGGGGATATGACACAGAACATGCAGCATTGACAGTGTGCATGCACAGCTCTGGAGCACAAGGCACATTCACACTCCATCCCCAGAGCACCCTTCACTTTGCAAAACTGAAGCTCTGTCCCCATAAAAGCCCTTCATGCCCCCTCCTAAGCCCCTGACTGCCTTCACCATACTTCCTGTAAAAGCTTCATTTAGTAGAATCATTAGGAACATATCCTTCTGTGATGAGCCTATTTCACTGAGCATGAGTCCTCAGGCTGATCTGCATCATCACATGGGTCAGGCTTTCCCTCTTTTTAAAATAATTGACATTCAATTATATGCATACACCACGTTTTCCTTGCCTGTTAGTCCACTGATGAGCATTTGGGCTGTTGCACCTTTCAGCTCTTGGGAATAATGCCGTGAATATGGGTGTGTTTTGCTTTGTGTTTGGATGTCTCCCAAAGCCTCATGCAGTCATAGGGCATGGACTTCATGGAGGCAGCTGAATCTAGAGTTTGTGACTGGTTCATTGGGATTGGGAGTATGAGAGCTGCATCCATCCCAGGGCAGGTAGCCTGCGTATCCTATAAGGGAGGAAAAGAGGCTTGCTTTCCCCTTCTGTTCTTGTTGTTTTTGTTGTCTTTCAGCACCATGAACTATTGCCTCGCTGCCATGTGCCACCCTGCACTGGAGCCAGCTGATTATGGACTAAACCCTCTATGAACTGTGAGCTTTCTTCCCTTAACTTGTGGGTATCAAGAGAAAAGTAACTAAGACAGGGTCTGTATGAGATGTTCACAGCAAGCACCCAACAAATTCTAGTTATAATTTGTAGTGTAGAAAAATTGGGGAACCCAAGCAAGCAAATTGAAAAAATATTACTCTTTATTTTGAAGTTAATTCTTATTATACATTTTCAGCATATCTATTCTCACCTTTTTCTTACAAAATTAATTATTTGGTCAACTGTGTTTTTCCCCTATCAATTACAAATGGGTTTGTGAATACATAATTGTACTTCTGAACTATCAGTTTTTATGATTGCACAACCCCCTTCTAGGGGAATCCCACAATTGATTTAATGAACCCTAGGTGTGTTCCAGGTTGAGCGCCTCAGAAACACATCTGAGACAATAAAACCTTCCTGGAACAATCAGGAGGCAGCTGGGGAGCAGGATGAGGAGAGTGGAGCCACCCATAGGTGGCTGCTCAGCAGAGGCCCTGGGAGGCCAGCTTGGCCCCACAGGAAGAAGTGGCAGGCCGGAGTTCCCACACGCTCACCTCAGGGTGTTGGTGGGGACTCACTTCTGCATGCAGGATCCCTGCTGACTGCAGTAGATGGCGACATTGCTCATGCTACTGAAGTCACACCCAAGGAAAACCACACAGCACAGGCACAGATCAAGGAAGTCAGGTTAGAGCAGAACACCATCCCCCACAACCATGAAGGGGAACCTTTTAGAGCTTTCAGTGGTAACAAATGGCCATGTGCCATAGGTTCACCACATGTGCCACAGGTTCACCACAGCTGCCCTAAAGTCCCAGTAACTGAGGAAATCTATCCCAACAAGTAAGTGTGCACTGCAGAGCAGCAAGTACAGTCACAGATGTGTAGACCACTGAGCCCTCCAGAGCCTTCCAAGTCTCTGCTCTTACTCCCTAGAAGTGCAATCCTGTTGACCCAAACTCCACTCCTTCTTATAGAGTAAGAGCTGCGCATGTACCTTCCAGCCCTAGAAGTCATCAGAAAAAATACCCAGTGATGGACTGGGAATTTTAGTTGGCAACCATTTTTCTTGTCCTTATTAAATTTCTTTCAACACATTTTAATCACAACTCTATAAGTGGAAAGGTATCCTTCTTTTCTAGGCTTCTTGGTGCCCTGGACCTGGAGCTGTACAGGGGCACACATGTGCACACCTAGGACTACCCTGCTGCCCAGGAGAGGTGGGTGCCCATGGAGAGCAGATGGGTCTTGTCAAAGTGACACTGAAGACCTCAGGGAGGACTCCAGCCAGCTGAGAGGAGCTGCCCAGAGGAAGGAAGGGGCAGAAGTCAGGCATGGGTGCCAGGCCCTCAGCCACAGTGAGGAACGTGCAACTGTGGTACAGCACCACTCCCCACTGCAGGATGACTTCCTGCCCCAAGGGGCCACCCCTGTGTAGATTGCATGGGCCAGGTCTGCCCTGCAAATCCATGCCTAACCACAGTGAGGAGCCACAGAGACAGAGCTCTGCCTGGACACAGCCAGCTTCCAAGCCACCTGTCCACTGCAAGCCCCTGCAGACAGGAAATCAAACAGATACAGAACTCTGTTTCCCACTACAAGCTAAAAGTCTCCCTGGGAGCAAACTAAAAGCCAACATTTGTACGATTATTCTGCATTTACAGAGAAGGTCGTTGAAAGTATTTTAGACAGCTTTGTTCTACACTCTGCCAAAGAAACAAACACATTCTTTAATATAATGTGTTTCTCAAGGTTAAAGAAAGTACAGAGAGCTAAAAAGCAGTCTCTCATGATTTCTAAAAGTATAGTTTGTGCTGCTTTGTTTCCATCAGGATATCACTTTAGATTTATATATTTTGTCTAGTAAGTTTAAATAATCTGGATTGAATTTAATATTACAAATTATTTTTTAATTCACAGATATTAAAGCCCCACCACACTGGGTAAGTTTCACTTCTAAAGAGTAACAAAGTCAAAACTTTCTATGGAACACACAGCATGCTAACAACAGTTATCATAATTCTCTTTTTCTTTACTGTTTTCCCCTAGGCTTGCAAGACTATTCCAGGCTACAAATGGACAGAGGTCCATCATAATCCCATTTCCATATTTTCGACAGGAAAGCTTAAACAGGAACACCGTCTGTGCCCACAGAGTACTGTGCCCAGACACTGTCTACTTTTCTTTCAGTCGATTCCTCTAGACACCACAATTTTCTCTCCAACATGAAGAAGGGGACAGTTTTCCTATTTGTCAAACTATTTCATATTGCATCTCTGGATCATTTCTTGTGCCATCCCTAGCGTGCATGCAGGAAATGCTTGTAGGTAAGATTACTGACCGCCCGCATCACAAGACAAGTCTTGGTTATTAGAGTGACTGTAAGAGGGCCATGATCAATTTGTCTAATGAGGCAGACTAAGGATAGTCACTCACTGAAGAGGAGTGTGATCGGTCTTGGAAGCTGACTTTGAAGATGTTTAATTGTTAAAAATGAAGGCAGTGTTATCACTACCTGGTGCTGAGCAAGTATCTGCATACACACAATAAATATAATTTTTCAAGATAAGAACTGTATGGGGAGAAGAAAAAAACACTGTCTCTATTTTCCTATTATTCAACACTGTAAGAATAAAACTGTAGAAAACAGACTGAACGTGAGGATCATGTGTACTGCAGGAAGGAGACCCCCAAGGGCAAGGGTGCTGTCCATACAGTGGAAGTCAGAGAAAGAATGACCAGTCCAGATCATGATGCCAAGATAGCAACTCAGGACACTTCAGGCCCTGAGGGAATCAACCACAGACACACCTGCCATCCTCCAACCCCAGCCTTGTTTGGAGGCCTAGAGACCAAAGATGTGACAGTTGAGTCCATCCCCACAACCCGGGACCATATTATCTCACATAGCAAAAGGGATTTGGCCAAGGTGATAAAGTGAAGGACCCAGAGAGGAGGAGATGACCCTGACTGAGGTGTGGGGAGCAGCTGAAGTTGAAGGTTGATCACACACATGGGGCTAGAGCAAGGTCAGCCCCAAGAACACAGTGTGCCTGAGGCAAGCCTGGTGAACACGTTCATCCAGCCCGAGAACAGGGGCACCGAGGTGAGCTGGGCCAGCGAGTTGCTAGGCAGAGGGGTCTTGCCTGACACCAACCCGCTGAGTGTGTGAATAAATGTGCTGCAGTCACTGGATGGTTCTTTCCCTCCCACCAGGAGAGCAGCTCTGCCTGACCTCAGCTTTCCACGTTTTCACTCCTGCCTTCATTCCTTTACCATCCTCTGCCCTAGAGATTCTCAAGAGCTGCACTAGACACAGCACTTAGTTGGATGGACCCCCAGCATTGCAGGGGCCCTTTATAGAGAGAGACAGAGAGGACAGACTCAAAAGAGGATGAGGGGCCAGAAACAGATGTGGGGCGAAGGGCCAGAGCTGAGGAGTACATGAGGTGCTGGAAGGAGAGGGGGGCCTGGACCAGCCAGGTGGGACATACCCTTGTCAATAGCTGCATTTGAGGCCTGCGAAAGTCATCTTGGACTTCTGACATCACAACTGCAAGACAATAAACTGATGCTGTTTTCAGTGAGCAAGCTCAGGGTAATTTGTTACAGCATCTGTAGGAAATAAACAGCACCTGAGGTCCTGAGGAATGGGGGCAGAATGAGCAGCCTTTGGGCATTAATAGCTTTCATTTTGTCCCTGCCCCCTGGAGTGCCATTAGAAATAAAGAGCCCAAGGAAACAACCAGCAGTTGCTCCAGCTCTGCCCTATCCACAATCCTCCCTGAAAAGGACTCAAACCCATTGGGGCTAAGGAGGGAGCTTTGTTTCTTCTGTCAACTGGTTAGTGTCTCACATGTTCCCATCTAAGACATCATTCATCATGGCCAGCTCCTTCCTTCATTATTTTATTCAAAAACCAGCAATTAAATATCATTTAGGCACATGGCCTTGTGCTTGGTAGGGCAAGGGAGACAAAGACAGATGAATCCGAGATCTTAATTGCAAAGAGCTGTGTTTTGTAGGAGAGCAGGATCGGGAACATAAATAACCAGAATCAAGGTAGACATTGTAAGCGTCAGCAGAGAAGTGAAGAATGAGGGCTTCAGACACTCCAGAAGAGCAATGTTAGTACTTGTGATGAAGCATGTGCCCAGTAAATAGATCCACTTTAGTTCCAAGGAGTCAAGGATGATTTGGTGACAGAAGTGGAATTCTGACTGGGGTTAAGGACTGGAAAGGTGACTTAAATAAGAGAAAATCATATTCTACAGAGCACGTGCAGAAAGATGCAGAACCAGAAAACGTGCATGGACTCCATCTAAGAAATGTGCACTAGATATTCCCAGAGCAAGGGTTTATCTGGGGTGTTCACTCCTCTACTCCTGATACCTAGCATTATGCCTGGCAATGACAAGTTTAGAAATATTTATAATAGGGGCTAAAGAAGTGGAATAAGAAGATCTATGCAGGAATATAGACAGAAATCACAAAACCAGTCTCCTTCTGGAAATACTGCACCAATGCATGCCCCTCAGAAGAGCCTGGTATCTGACACAACACAACCCACCCTGTTCCCAGGACACCATGCCTGGTGGCTACCAAAGCAGCTGATATCTACAGAGTGATTCCCAGGGCTAAGCTATAATTCCAGTCATTAACATGAGTCTACTGACCGATGGGTCCTCTTAGAGTCTCAGAGGTGAGTGTGTCATCATTCCAATTGCTAGATGATGATAAATAACTTCCGTGAGCTCAGTCAGCAGCTGCAGCCCTCTGAGGTCAGAGTCACCGTGCAGGCTGCAGAGGAGAGCTTGCTGCCTCCTCTCGTGCTGTCTGATCACCCCCCCCCATGCTTCCCTTTGTCTATTCTCCAGGTATTTTATTTTCTTCTCTATCATCTACATTTTCTCCAAGGTATAAGATTTCTTTTATAGTCAGAAAATCAAATGATTCTGGAATACATCTTGGTAAGACTATGGATGTCATTGTCTGGATTTCCATTTGCTTCTGCATATGAGCTTGAGCAAGCTTCTGGAACCCATCTGTGGCTCTGGTAATCATGCTAAAACAAAGGAAAATGTTAAGTACCAGTGTCTTCTCTTCCTCTGCATCCTGTAGCCAAGTGTGCTTAGATAGATGTAAGCGTCAACCCATCCCTACCAGCTTGAGAAGCCCCTGACAAGTGGGGTTTTGCTCTTATCTTGTGCTACTGCTTGCTTTAAAGCCAGAGGAAGCCAGGATGGATAAAGGGGCCCATCCTTCAAAATTACCTCGATCTGGGTGATAATTGATTTAATGCATGTCAGCTAGACTGGACCATGGTGCCCAGATAGTTGGAAAGATTATTCTGGGTGTTTTTGTGAGGATTTTTGGTGGAGATCAACACCAAACTTGGTGGACTCAGTGAATGGATTGCCCTGTGGCATGGAGGAGACCCTTATCTAGTCAATTGGAACTGGAATAGAACAAAAAGACTCTTTGTCCCCAAAGAGTAAGGCGTCTCCCGCAGAGCTTTGCCTTTGGACTCCAGGGTCACAGCCTGCCTAGGCCATGGCAGATGTGGCCTTGCCAACCTCCATACTATGTGTTTCTGTTCCACATACTGAGTCATGCGGGGACCCCCGATTGACACAGCCCACCACGCACACTTTCTAGATGCTCTCGGTTCAGAGCTTCCCCTTGGCTCATGGCAGCCGCTGCAGACTCACCTGAGACTGTCACCCCACTGTCATTGTTGCACAGACCCTTCGCAGTCTGGGTGTCTCACCTCCCAATTCGCATCTGTGCCTGGCCTGCTGCTGCTTTGATAACCGTCCCCAGCCTACATCTCACCTCAGCGAGGCCATTTGCAGCTCCAGCACTTTCACCTTGCTGAAACAGTATCCAGCAACGGGAGACAAAGCAGAACAGCGTCCCTGGCAGCGACCCGCAGGCTGCTGCCCAAGTGTTCACTCTCCATAGCTTTTTATTTGGACCCGAGCAGACCTCGGGCAGCATCCAGTAAGAGGACAGCTTGGTGGATCCCGGCTGCCTGCTGGTAGTTCTTCATCAAGTAATGAGCAGATACCAAAGGACTCTGCAGGCCCTGCTTGCAGAGCAGGAGTCCACGAAGGCCTTCACCATGACTTTAGATGCCTTGCCCAAATCGCGACGTCTCGGGGATTGCCCAGTGCTGACAAACATTTGGTTATCTTCATATTAGAAAGAGGTTCTGGTTGGCTGGTTAGTTGTCTTGTTTTTGTTTTGTTTTGCTTTGTTTGCACTTCAGTAGCTATAGTAACAATTGGATACATTTCCATTAGAATGAGCACAGGGTTAGGGCCTTGTATTTTAATTGCACTAGAAGTCATGCATTGATTACAACAGTGACACAATGCAAGTGCAAATGAGCAGTCACAACAGAGATGACTTGGGCAGGACTCAAAACACCTAGAGCAAAATACAGTTTAAATGCTACCTGCTATTTTTTGAGGTAATATTGGTGATTTGTGTGTGTAGTTCCTTCAGTTAACAGATACATACTGAGACTCTTTTGTGAGTAACCCAAAAATAAATGTAACTTTCCTAAGTCTGGTTGAAAACATGTCATAAATACACCCTGGTCTTAAATAATGTAATCACATGACCGTCATCATCATCTTAATGAACACAGGGTTACTTAGGCAAACAGGAAATGGGAGGGGAAGGATTTCTTAAAGAGGACTTGACTAACATTCTAATCCCGTCTTCTTTGCCTTTCAAGGAATCGAGCACACACGGCATATGAATTGTAATGTCATTCTCAAGAGTGTGTTTTGTAACTTGCTGTCACAGAAAATTTCATCAACAGCACATCCCTGCTCACTCACACTCCCTGGCTCAGTTGCACCAAAAAGAAACACCCTCCATACCCCAGTCTCTGGTGCATCCCTGGGAAGCCTCTTCCTCAAGCCCTGCAGATCATAGATCCGAAAGCCCAAGTAATAAACTCTGGACTCCATGATAGCTCAGGTGCAAGATAAGGGGTAATAAAAATTCATTACCTGGCATAACAGTTTCCCTGGTGGCTCCTATAGGCTCTAAAGGGCAGGTTTTGGAATAATTAAAGACGGAAGCATGCAGCTGCTCCTGCTCTGCAGCTCCCTCCAGTGTTCCTCCCTTATTCCTGTCTGAATAAGACCCTGTCTCAGAAGCAGCTTCTCTCCACTTCAGTCCTCTGCTGTGTGACACTATGAAGAAAGAGCAACAAGGATCACTGGGCAATGTATACGCATCACAAGAGCATGGGACCGATCACCAGGGGCAGCCCTTGTGCAGCACTTGTCTATGCCACCAGAGGCTCCACTCCCAGGGCCTCTGAATGATCTGGGGCCCTTGTCCCTGCCCCCAGGCACTTCCCAGCTGCCCTCCAGCACAGCAAGCCCACTGCTCAGCACCAGACTGTGCCTACTTCAGGCTGTGTTCTGACTCAGGTCTTCACCTCTGCATCCCCTCATTTTGTGTCTGGCCATGGACAAGGCCCCTTCCCAAACTGCCTGGAAGGAACAACAGACAGCTAGCAGTGGGCAGCGGCTGAGGGGTCCATTTGCAGAGTATGGAGCTGTGAGTTCTATACCAGAGCTGTCAGCAGTGTCCCCAGAGATTTCTGGCTTCCAAAAGCTGCTCTGTGACCTTTTTCTCACTCTGGATTACTGAGGTTCTCCAAGCAATAGAGCCCCGAGGATGTGCACACAGAGAGAAGAGACATGAGAAGGGATACACACAGGCCAGGGAGCTGGACTCCCAGATGGACAGAGGCGTGGGGAGAAGCCCAGGGCTGCCAGCTCTGGGCCTCGCTTACAAAGGGAGGCTGTCTTTTGCCCCATTCAAGCTTCAGGGGGTGGATGAGGCCCACCTCACTCTGTCTGACTCAGGTTTATATACTCACCTCATCCAAAATCACCTCCAAATTAACACAAAATTAACCATCACACCATCACATTATAGATCTAAAATTAACAGATAAGCAAATAAACATTTATAAACCGTAAGAGACTCTTTTCCTACCTCCAAGATAGGGAAATGTATTAAGACACCCAAACATGTGCTATTAAAAAAGAAAAATTAAAACTATTTATACTACTACACATTAGAATTAAAATTTTCTGTTCCTCAAAAGACGGTGAAGACGGTGAAAAGACAAGCCACTGTGTATGAGAATAATATCTGCAAATAACGATCCCATGAGCTACTATATCTGGACCCTGTGACATGAGAATGCAGCTTCCCCATGTAAATCAACAGCCAGGCAAGGACCCTTGTGTCCAAGAGTTTGTGTGAGAAAATTGGTGTCAGTGTTTTTCATTCTCACTGAAATGCAGGAAGCAAGCCAAGTGCCCAATAACAGAGTGGGGGAAAACTGGGATTTTTCAATGGGAATAAAAGGCACTGCCACCTCAAAGGGTACAGGATTGGATCTTGCAAACATGTGCTTGAATAAAAGAAGTCCACACAAAAGAGTATCCATGGCATTGCTCCTGTTTATGCAAAGTTTGAAGACAGGGAAGACACATCTGAAGGAGCCAAGGCACGGCTCTCCTGGGCAGCATGCCTGCAGGTGCCCACAGGACCTTGGATTCTGGATGCTCTTGTTCTGATTGGCCACACATTCCCAGGTGTCAGTGCTTTATGAAACTGCAAGGAGCTGCACAGGTATGGTTTGTGCATGTTTCTAAACATGCAACCAACTAAGTTTTTAATAGAATGATCGACACAGGCATTACTGACAAATACAGGGTAAGAACCATGTGATTAAGGAGCAGAGAGCCCTTCTGAGCTCCAGCCTGAACATTCATGCTGCCCACCCCAGCCCACGAGGGGAGGCGCGGAGCAGCCATGATGCACAGCAAGACTGTCAAGACTGTCAAATGGCAGGGACAGTGTGGGTGAGGTCACAGAGGACCAGAAGCTGATTGTGCTGAGAGGCTACAGCTACACTAAGGCTCTTCCCAGACTTGATTTTATGCCATTGTATCTATTTTAATAAGACAATGAAAGAGAATTAATAACTGAGGAATAAATTTCCCTTAGGATGAGAAAGTCATCAGTGGACTTAATTTTTAAATGACACTAACAAGTCACCTCATGATCTTAGCCTGCGGTTTGGGGAAAACATCTAAGCTCCTACTGAGCCCAGGGAGCCCTGCTCACCTCCCCATGGAAGCAGTTCCAGGGAAACGCCAGCCTCACCAGAAAGAAAAGAAGCAGCTCCAAGAGCCCAGTGCACTGAGCACCCCCAGACAAGAGGGAGATGCAAGACACCGCTCAAGCTCAGACAGCCGCCTTAGTTTTAATCTTTTTGCAGAGTACTTTATTACATCTTGTGATAAAATTTACCATCTTAACTGTGCTTAAGTGCAGGATAATAAGATCATTCTACTGCTGGGCAATCAGCTCCCCATCCACCTCCAAAACACTTCTCATCTTCCAGAACTGAACTCCACATCCCCCTAGCCTCCTTCCCCGGGCCCTGGAAACTCCATTTTGTCTTTATGAATTTGCCCACCTCGGGTACCTCAGACAAGTGGAATTCTGCAGGTTCTGTCTGTTCTGAGACTGGCTTATGTCACTGGACATAATGTCCTCAAGATTCAGCCACTAGGTACCCAAATTTCCTTCCCCTTTATGGCAGAGTAATATCCCACAATGTTATACACCATCCTGTTCTTTATTCACCAGCCATTGGTGACGATTTGGTTTGTTTCTACATTTTAGCCATTGTGACACATTTTTAATTTGAGGTTCTTTGTGTTCAAGTAAGGATGAAGGACTGGAAAGGCAGCTCAGTGAAAGTGCTTGCTTAGCATGCATGGGGCCCTAGGTTTGATCCTCAGCATGAAAAAAAACAAAAAACAACAACAAAAAAAAACACACCCTCAATTTCTTTGAATCTGCTGCCATTGAAAGGTGGAACTGATGTTCTGTGCCCTGAAATAAGGACAAACTCCACGGCTGCCAGATAGAGCCAAAACAAAACTGATCTTGACCTTGCACTTTAAAAGCTGACAGCTCCCCTCTCTGCTCATTCAAGACCACAATGCTGGACTACAGTACTGACTGCAGGGGTCATGATCACTGTCCTCACTGACCGCGCCTCTCTGCCATCCCAGCCAAGACTCCAGACACACAAGTCCAATAGACCAGCCTGTCTGCCAAATAAGGAGAAACCCAATCCTCCTATTATAGCTTAAGAATCACCAAGCTAACCCATAAAATAAAATCATTCTTTAAGCCACTAAACTCTCGTGTACATTGTAATACAGTAATAGATAACCACAACAACTCTGACTGAAAAACTTCACAAAAATCTGGTGACTGCAGTGGAGTCTCCTCCCAAAGACAGAATATCAGATCTTTAAATATCGAAGAAGCCAGGGTAGATGTATTAGCTTTTTTGTTCCTGGGACACAATACTCATCACCCACAACTGAAAGAAAGAAAAGTTATCTTTGGCTCATGGTTTCCAGGAATGCAGTCCACGGTCAGCCGGCACCAAGGCAGGAACATCATGGTAGATGGGTGAAGCAGAACAAAAATATTGTTAGGGTGGCCAGGAGCAGAGCAGAGGACCAGTACCAGAGAGAACAGGTGAGGAACTAGATGTAGCTTCCCAACCCCTTGCCTCCATAATCCCCACCAGAAAAACCCAGAAGTGAGCTGTACCAATGCCCTAGGTGGGTCCCAAAGCCAATCAAGTTGATACTACAGGAAAGCTCACACCAAGACCAGACTAGGAAATATCTGTCAATCCCAGGAAGAGGTAGAGGAGCAGCCAGAGCAAGGGAACACACTGAAATGTTACCCATATGATCCTGAATTTCCTCACTACTAAAGATGAATCTGACAGTGTAGCTAAGCACTTCCTGGGGCCAAGGGTAGGGAGTCACACACCTACCCTCCCTGGTGTGGACCTCCTTGTTCTCACAAATACCAATTCACTTTAGCCATTCCCCCTGCTAGGTCCTAACCTTGCAAGCCCTGGCTTTCCATTTGCAGAGCAGGGGGTTTTAGCACCAGCTGGGACACTGAGACAAATCACATCTCCCAGAAAAGAGCTATTTTACCTATTAAAAAATAAAAGAGGAAATAAAAAAGATACTACTTAAAACTAGCATTTTCAGTAGAAAGTGCTACTTAAACCTGGCATTTTAGTCTTAAAAATGTGTTTTTGTTAGTTTCGATTGTGCCATCTACTAAAAGTTTCCTGGGTGCATTTTAGAATTCATGAGAGAGACAGAAGCTCACTGTTAACTTCTTAGTCTAAGACAAAACAGTGAATTCAATGGGAAAAGTGAGCAGAATACAAATAGCTCTTAGGAAAAAGTTCTCATTTTGTACATGAAGACATAGCGAGTCGATTGTGACTAGCAGGATTTGACAGCTCCCCGAGGTTGCCACCATCAGCCTGCAGTGTTTAGCTGTATTTTGTGAATTTCTGAAGGAAGGCAGGTGAAACTTTGCTTATGTGGCAGTGCGGAAGAAGCTGTTCTGAAGGCAAGGGGACAATGTCCGGCCCTCCTGGCTTTCCTTGGGGCCGTCCCCATGTTACACTCCATGATGGCTTCAGGGCAGGGATTGAGACCCACCTGTCCCCAGCCATCCAGGTAACAGCTAGAAACCAGAAGAGACCCATTCCACCAAGCATGCACCTCTAGCTTCAACCTGGGCAATGCAAATGAGTAGTGAGCCCACAGGAGGACCTCCTGAGCGCTGCCCACCTGTGGAACTGTGGATTCCCCTCTGTGCAATCACATCTGCCCAGCACTAACACAGGAGTGTCTCTCATATATCTCACTCATTTTAGTCCACTACATCCATGAATTGTGCTCGTGTACAATATACTCAGGGCCTCCTCGCCCCAAATATTCGAAGTTTAAAACCTTGGGGCCAAGGTATCGACTTAGTCCAGGCTTTCCAGAGAAACAGAAGCAAAAGATACAGAGAAACATAGACCAAGACTTGCCATGTGAGATGTGCTCATGCACTGAGGGGCTTACTACTGTAGCCAGGACCCCAGTAAAGCAGATAGGGTGACTGAGCCCAAGCCAGCTATCACATGGATGCTTCCCCTCAAAGGCTCACTGTATTGAAGACATTGTGGCTAATGAACTTTTGGAAAAATTACTGGGCTGTAACTTTATCCTAAGAGGTAATTCACTGATGACCTCATAACTTGATAGCATTATTGAGAAGTAATGGAGCTGGGCATGGTGGCTTATGCCTGTAACCCCAGCATTTGGGAGGCTGAGAGTTTGAGACCACCCAAGGCCAGCCTGAATTGCATAGTGAGACCCTGTCTCAATAAGACAAAAGAGAGAGAGAATAATGGGAACAGGAGGTGGTACTTCCTGAAGGGACCGAACCTTGGGGACCCAGCCGTAAGGACAATTTATGGTCCCCAACCCTTCCTCTTAAACTATTTTCTCTTTCTCCCAATCCTTCCTGCATGCTGTGAGGTGAGCAGGTTTCCCATACCACACGAACCCTTCCAATTGATATTTTTGCCTTGAAGCCAGTTAACCATGGACTGAAAGGATGAGACAAAATAAGCCTTTCCTCCACTTTCAGGTCATTTTCTTCGGGTATTTGTTACAGTGCTGGAAAGTGGACTCACCCAAAGGCCACAGAGCCAGGGAGCCAGTGTTGTAAGTTTCCATCACCAGACAAAGACCCAGAACTGGAGACCAGTGTCCACAGGCCAAACAGACAGATGTTCCAGCTCAAGCAGAACTGATAAACTCACCTCTCCTTTGCTGTTTCTCCTCGGTATCCTTGGAGGCTAAGACAATGGCCACTCACACTGGGAAAGCAACTCTTCCTTTGTCCATCAACTGAAACAGCGCTTTCTGGGAATACTCAAGCAGTGCTTGAGTCTGCCACCACAACAGGTCCCTTGGGGATGGATGCAGACCACCTTAAGCCCAGCCCTCAACACCCTTGGGTGTAGACTGGCCAGCCCTAAAGAAACCATTTTATAATGAGACTGGTCCCCAGCTCCACATTCTGCTTATCCTGTCTCCCTTCCCTCTGTATCACCGCCACTGAGATGTTAGCACAGCTGTCAAGTTGTGACTTCTTTTTCCATCCAAAAGTAAGTCTGACCAGGGAGCTGCTACCTCTGGAAAAACCACCTTCAACAACCCCAACACTGTTACATGGCTTGCACTGCTTCTCAATTGCTTGGTAAAATTGTCTAGCCGGACTCTAAACCGGAAGGGCCAAGGATAAAACATCAGCTGTTGTTGGGGTCTGTGTCTAGACCCCTCTGCCCCAAATAGGTGCACACCAAACGCCCAAAGGAATGAGACACACCGCATGGTCTTTAGGGCTGCAGGAGGAGTAAAATCCTCGGCAGAGCTCGTAACTCCTCTAGCCAGCCAGCCGACTAACTCTAGGCAGCCCATATTTAATCAGAACAAGCAAGGAGCTGAGTGGGCAATGGAGGAAATCTGAGCAAGATCTTAGGAGGGGTCAAAGGACCCCTCAGAGCTACAGATGATGCTAATTAAGGAAAATATCCAGAAAAGCTCCAGGTGGCCTCAGCTGTGGCCAATCTTGCCCCCTGAAGTGTCTCCTCTTTCTCAGTTCAGTCATGCCCGGGCCACAGTACAGCCCCACACATGTATTCAGCTCCAGTGCCCTCCAACAAGCTGGCACTGACCTGCTGTGCCAAAATCAGAGTGCGCTGCAATCAGGACCCCGAGCTGCATGGTCTCAGTGAGGCAACTCAGAGTATCTGTCCTTCACCTGTGACAAGGAGGGACAGTCCCAGGAGGACTTCCCTGGAGGGCACAATTCCTGTGAAGCTCCTGCTGGTGATGGAATTGCACATCTAAGTACCTTACTAGCGAGCATATCTGCACGACCACAGCCAGGACTTTCTTAGCTCAGCCACCCTCCTTCCCACCCTCACCCATCTACAGCACAAACAGGAGGAGCAGAGGGGATGGGAGTTTCCATAAGGAGCAGTGGAGCGTGACTTGGTGGAATTACGTTTTCTGTTCATTATAGTCGCAGCAAGATAAGACCTGTTTATGTCATAAGACCAAACGTTTTTACCCTGGTCTCCAAGGCTTCCTCCATACAAAAAACTAAGAAGCCAAAATTGATCCATCTCTTAGACCTGTGGGTGGGCTTTGCTTTTTTTTTTTTTTTTTTTTTTTTTTTTTTGGTACCAGGAACCAAACTCAGGACCTCACACTTTCCAGACAGGCACTGTGCCCCTGAGCTGTATCCCCAGCCCCCATGGCCACTGGATGTTGTGGAAGGAAGATGGGGAAAAGGGTCCAAATTCCTAAAAACTTGCCACAGACACTTGATAATTAGGTACAACATGGAATCCACCTGATGACAGAAAATCTTTAGGTGATATTTGCTCACTGAAAGGATTTCACCTTAGAAAATTATTGTCAGGTCTTGGTAGAGAATAAAGTTTGGGAGATAAGACACCTATAACTCAAGTCTCCTCCTGTTTGCCTGACAGTTCACTTACCCTCTGTCCGGTTTCGTTTACTAGGAGCCCGATGATGTGTGTCTCCCAGAAGCAGCTCCTCTCATTGAGCTGGTCCTGTGGATGTATGAGGCTTGCCCCTGGTCCCAGCTTAGTAACTATCTACTTTACATGAAGGCTTCCTACCTCCCCGCCCAACACTGGAGTGAGGATGCCTCTCTATAGAACTGTGATATCTAACATATTCCTAATAAAAAAAAATTTGTTAGAATCAAACATTAAGAGTGATAACAAATGCCTTTGCCTTATAAACACTTCTGGTTTCCTCTTTAGTGCCAAAGGAATTTAGACCAAAAAGAGTTCCACTGCATAACCACCCTTCCTCTTGCACTGCACTCAAAGGCAGGACTATCCTGGGTGGAAATTCTGAGTGCAGAAGGAAGGAGGATAACAGGAAGACACCGTCATCCCTCAGTACCCAGGGGGCAGAGGTGCTGAGATTCTCTCTCCCCACTCTCCAAATTCAAAAATGCTCCATTCCCTTATATAAAATGGCATGGTATTTGCACGTAACCGACATACATCTTCCTGTATACTTTAAATGATTTCTAAAGTATTTATGACACCTAACACCATGCAAATGCTAAACAGTTTTCATACTGTGCTGCTGTGGGAACAAAAACAAGGATAGAAAGTCCATACATGTTCAGTACATGTAATGGTGGGTACACTGTGTCTACGTGAGAAGTTTAGAAGTTTAATGAAGTGACTCAGAAGGGACCAGGGTCCTCACTTTGTAAACATCTTCATCCTGTGAAAGAAGAGGGCATGGAGACAGTGTGAAGGCTTCATCCACCCTAGGTAGGGGGTGTCCTGCTGGCAATCTATGGAAGGAAAAGAGGCTAACTCCACCTCCCTCCATAAGATCTTGCTGCTTTTGCTGTCTTCCACACTTGGAGCCAGCTGATAATGGAGTGGAGCCTTCACAACAGTGAGCTAAATAAACCTTTCCTTCCTTCATTTTGGGTGTCAGGTATTTTGTCCAGCAATGAGAGAAAAGTGACTAAGACAGTACAGATAAAGTTTTCTTAAGTAACTTTGTTTGGCGATTTAGACCAATAGTAATAGGTAAACAATAGTGAAAGGGACAGAAAGCATAAAAAAGAGGATGAGTGTAAGACTGCATCACACATATTCATCTCGGTATCTGTTTATTTTCACTGGACATCTTTAATGTTCCAGTGTGTGTGAGACCCTAGAAACATAAGAGACAGAGCTGTCTCAGCCGCAAGCCCCTGCAGCCCTGGAGGGCGTACTCCCTGAGCCTGGGCCACCAGGAGTCCTGCTTGCACTCAGCTGCATGGAGCTATTTCCACTGGGAGCTGGCTCAGGAGGTGGGTCCACCTGAAAAGAGTTGGGAGGAGACACAGCCTTCTCAAAGACACTAGGCACTATATGTTGGAGGAAATCATAGGCTTAGTTGGTGTTTCAGTCTCAGTTTTTCACATTTTTGGCACTAAATGTATGTAAGACTTTAGATTTCTGGTGCCAGAAATTCTTTAACAAAATATACTGCAGTGAATGCTTGAGAACAGTTCCTGTCTCTTTCCTCAAAAAAGAAATGTTTACCTTGATTCATGCCCATATTAATGCAAATATTTTTCTCCATCACACTCCTGAATACCATGTCTTGTCTCAAGAAGAATACTTGATTTTGTCAACTGGAGCCATCACAGGGGGAAATGTGCCTTTTTTTAGTTTCTCGGATGCTAATCAATTGCTAATTATCCTTACCCATATCGACCTTCTCCCACGGTTTTTACCATATGGATTAATGAGTGACATTATAAGGCGCACAATTTCATGCCTTGAAAGGAACGGACTCATGCATTATTCACGCCACATAAATACAGGCACTTTTATTTGGAACTTTGAAAGATCTCAGAAAGAAGCACGGAGGAGACATACAATCTGACAAAGGCAAGAATTGGGACAGGAAAATTATATACAGTGCAAATGGAGAGAAATAAACCAATCTGTGCAGAACTGGAGCTGCAGAGAAGAACACGAGAAAAGACAAAACCCATCAGTGCTCTCGCAGTGTGACCTCCTCCCCAGCTGTGCCAGGGCCCTTCTGTCCTGCCTGGTCAACACCACACTGGCCGCTCCTCAGTCAGAGCCCATGGGCTGGGCGTGCACCCAAAAAGCAGGCCGGGCAGAAGAGCACTCCACTTCCCCACTCCGCCTCCCACCTGTGAGCACAGCCAAATAGGGTGGCTGTCAAAAAAGTACTTTTGCCTGAACTAAAGGAAAGAGAACTGAAGGCATGGCTACTCCTTTCCTCTAAATTTGCCTCCATTTTCTAGTTGGTCATCAAAGGCAAGTAGAGGAGGTTGATTCCTCCTCGAAACAGCAGTAAGTCCTGGCTCCTTTTGTGTCATAACGAAGCAGACGATAGAAAAACACTAAACAGATCCCAAAGAGCACCCTGCAAGAGCTGTGGCGTGATAAAGGGCTTTGTCCTCAGGTCCTGGCTCAGGATTTCAGAGCCTTGGAATGGGGCAGGGTGGGTACAGCGTGGAGAGTGACTTTGCTATTCTAAAGGGTGGTCACTGGTGACCTCCACGTGGCTTCAGGGTAGGAGTTGGTCACCAGGAAGCCTCAGCTGTAGACTGAGGCTGCTCTCCCAACCTCCAGGAAAGTGATCGAGGCTAGAGATTGTGTTCAAACAGGAAGTTGGGCTCCACTCAGTCAGTGAAACCCCTAAGCAACCCTGGGCCACTAACACTCAGTGGGTCTTCTTGGTTGGTGAGTCTACTGGTGTGCCAAGAGGGGGAAGTGGCTGGGGGACATAGGCAGGGACACAGACATTCTCCAGGACCTGCCCTGACTTCGGCTTCATCTCTCTTCGTTTCACTGCTATCTCACTGAATCCTCCGTTAGGAAGCTGCAATCCTAAGCATAATTCTCTGGCCTGAGTTTCGTGATAGATAATTGAGCCTGGGAATTGACCGTGGGAAGCCCAACTCTATAGCTAGTTGGCTCCAGTGCAGATGGTGCGGAGAAGCCTGAAAAGCGCTGGCATCCTAGACAGGGACAGCCCTCTTGATACCAAACCCCAGCAGTAAGACCTGACACTCGTGCAGGAAGTCAGTGTCTGAAGTGCAAGGGAGTCCACTCATTCGAGGCACAGACAGGACACTGCTTTCCTTTCAGCTCCTCCCACACCCCACGCACTCCTGACCCTGACCACGGATCTGTGCAGCTCTGTCTCAGGGAGAGTGACTCTGGGGCAGAGGGCATACATTCTCTCCTGAGTGGTGGTTTCCAGATTTATTATTAAACTGCAAGACTCTTTTTCAAATTGAATTTTTTGTTGTTGTTGTGTTTTGTTGCATTTTGTTTTTGTACCAGGGACTGAACTCACGACCTCATGCTTGTTAGGCAGGCACTTAAGCCACTGAGCTAAATCCCCAACCCAAATTGAATCTTATTAAAATAGACAGCAGCATCATGTGAGTAGCATTACCCAAGTGCTACTTGCTACTCACAAGTGGCACGTTCGATTTCACACTTTTGCTTTTCTCACTCTACAGTAATTAAGGCCACCGGGGGGAGGACAATGATGGCATCCAGTGTGACACCTTCGAGGGTAGTGCACCTCACCAGAGGCTTAATGGGTTTTCTAAATGAATCTGGAACCACCTCATCTCTAAGAGCACAGTCCCTGCCTCTAAAGTATGTCAGAATATTCAAGACTGCTATCCTTTTTGTAATACACTTAAAGAATAAATACTTTGAAAAATAAGTATTAGAAGAAATGAAGAATCACTGCCTTTTTTCGATGAAATTGTCTAAGTCCACACTGCGGAAGGGGCTGGGCCAGTGGAAACTAGGAGGACATGAGTTGTGGTGACGCAGGAAGTGAGACTCAGGACTGTTGTGTGACACGGAGAAATCGCCAACGAGGAGCACCTAAAGAAGTGGTCAGAAGAGGCCAGTGCCTCGCGGGGAGCAGTACCCCTGTAATGCTAGCACTCTGGGAGGCTGGGACAGTTTGAGCCCAGCCAGGGAAAACAAACAAGATCCTATCTCAGCATTAAAACTTAAAAATGGCTAGAATGTAGTTCAGGGAAAAGGCCCTGGATATTGAACAAAAAAATGATAAAATAATATTAAAAAAAGAAAAACAGGTCGGGCAGAAGAAACTTGCCCATCGCCACAAAAATACAACCACAGATCTTGTCTCTCCCTGAGTTCTAGTTCAAACAAAATCTTCTCATGAGAAATCAAAAGGCTGGATTCATAGCTAAGCTGAAAGTCAGCAGTGAACCACAGCCCCAATCCATGCAGGAACACAAGCGTGTGTTTCTGAAAAACCGCCGCGTTCACTCACATGCATGCTACCTCTGTTGCTTTCCCATGGTGGGAGCAGCCAGATTGCATGGCCTACTTGTCTGGCTCTTTCCAAAGCTTGGTGAACCCTGACCTAAAACACTGAGTTCCAAGGTCCTCTGTCCAGGTTATTCAGGAGAACGCAGACACAAAGAGCAATAAGTGAAAATATTGGCTCAGCATTTTTATATCACTGAAGCGGGCAGACACAAGCACAAAATCACTTCAGGGGAAAACGCACAAGTGTGTGCCTCATGAGATGGCTACACGTACTTAGCCACCAGGGGAAGAGACCTGCGGCTAAGCAAAGGTTCATCCCTGTGTCTTACTCATAGCCTGAAGGTTCTATTATGCAAGCAATTAGTTTTTGGCATGGCATGGAATTTTACTTTTTTTTGTTTTGCTTTGTTTTGAAATTTTACTCTTGTGATGTTATCCTTCATTTCATGTGATTCTTCATCTCTTTTAATATTTACTTTAAAACTTTTTATTTTAAATATGTCACAAAAACTCAAATTTCATATTTTAGAGCATTTGAGATTTCAGGGTTTTGGGGAGAAGTTTTTTTGTTTTGTCCTGGGGATCAAACTCATGACCTCATGCTTGCCAGGCAGGCGCTTGTGCCACTGAGCTGAACCCCAAGTACCGAGATTTCAGATTTTTGAGTAAAGGATGCTCAGCCTATACAAAATATCCAACTATGCTATACTTCCTGTAATAATACGATCTTCACAAAATTAGAATTAACAAACTCATAGGAATAAAAATATTTTAATTTTTTAAACTTAACAATAAAGAAACTCAGTCTAGCTGGGGGAATAGCTCAGCAATGAAATGCTTGTCTGGCACACATGAGGCCCTGAGTTCAATCCAACACCAGAAAACAAAATCCAACTTAGGTTCAGAATTAATTTTAAAAAGTAGTGAGCAAACACCTATGTAGATGCATACCTACCTCTTCCTGAGAAAATTAATTAATAAAATCTGGGGAGGAGGATTGTATTTCTGTATGTGTTTTATTTTTGCTGTTTGTAAAATTTTGTTTAGTTTGTGTTTTTTGAAGTAGTGGGTGTTAAACTGAGGGCCTTTACATCGAGCTACAGCATCAGCCTTTTGTGTGTGTGTGACATAGGGTCTTGCTAGGTTGTCACTAAACTGCTAAATTACCCAGGCCATACTCAAACTTGCAACCTCCCTGCCTCAGGCCCCCAAAGTGTAGAAATTACAGGCATGCACCACCATGTCCATCTCTTTTACAAAAATTAATAAAGGTCAAAACTCAGCCAATCAACCTAGAAAAATAACAAAGAAAAAGTGGCAGAGGATTAAATATACAACAAAGACATAAACAAATATAGTTTGTTTATTAAGGTAGTAAACAGTAAACATTGTCTCTGACAATGTAGTAAGATGTGTGTGTGCATTCATGTGTGTGTGTGTGTGTGTGTTGTGTGCGTTTGTGCGTGTGTGAGGGAAACACTAAGCAAAATTAGGTAAGATGCAAAAAAAAAACCATTGTTAGTGTTAAATATTGAAAAGCCACACAAGGAAGAAACAATCAACTTACCAGGAGGATTACCACAACTGTGTGATTCATATGAACTTAAAACCCAGAGCACAAAACCTATGCTAAATTTTTTTAATTTATGTTTTAAAGGTCCAAGAAATGACACTACGATCTGCAGTCATAATGAGGAGTTTAATACATAACTCTCTTATCAAATGATAAAACAAGCAGAAAAATAATTAAAAGAATATTGAAAATACAAACAAAATCATAAACAAACCTAATTTAAAGAACACTTATAAGACCATACACCCAAAAAAATTAAAAATGTATTTCCAAGCATTCATAGACATTTGTAAAAATGGGTTACACATGATTTTCACAGGATCCTTCATCAATCTAATATCACGTTGATAGTATGACACCATATTGACCACATTCTTTGACCACAGTGCAGTAGACTAGAAGCGTCCAAATGTGTAAGGAAAAGAAAGCCAGCCAGCGCTGAAGAGGTCCACAGCAGCAGACACACTTGGATGCCTGAGTCAGCATGTCCCCTTCGCCTGGAAATTATAAAAAAGCAATAAGAGAACCTAAGCCATTTTGCAAACTGCATTTTTCAGTGAAAATAAGAAGAAGGCTCAACCCTCAGACTACACATTATATAGAGGAGCTGCCAAAAGCCACTGGTTTGGGGCAAAAGCCACTCAACAGTAACTAAAAGGACCCAGGGGCAATTAAGGGCAAAAACCACTAGCAAATGCATCTTCCCAGGCCACAGGGAAGTGGGAGTCAGCACCTGCATCCTCCTGGCCACAACAAGGAAGAGATTTGGGGGTCGCTCCCAGGCCCCTTGTTGGTTAGGGGACGGGAAGCTCACACAGGTGAATGGCCACCAGAATTGTCTTTCAAATTATGCAAACAACAAAAGGTAATAAACATACCAGACCTAGGAAACATTGCTCCCATAAGCTTTCCTGAGAAAGTTAATAAAGGATGATTCTCAGCCAACCAAGGTAAGGAAATTTCTGAAAGGCTGATGTTTAAATATAGAAATGAGGCATAAGCTAATATATGCTGATATTGCATGTGCTACAGTCCCTGACAGCATAGAAAGCACCAATTAAAAATGCAGCAGAAAAATGAGAAGAAAGCTTGGAAATCAGAGTAAATTCATTGAATGCTTAATTCAAAATAGCTGGGTAAAATAGCTTAAAGCTAATAAGGTAGTTAAAGTATAAACACACATAACAGCACTAACACAGTTACAAATAGTAGTATTAGTACGTATGAAATTGGTGATGAAAAGAGGAATTGGAGAAAGGAAACAAGCTAATTTTATGATTGTTCTCAGAATGAAATTAATAGATATTCTTTGAGGAAATAGCCTTCCCAGGTACTTATATGATGATATAAAAGAAACCTTTGAATTAAAAGCATCAGCTTTCCAAGTTATCACACTGGAGCACAATTATAGTGTAAGAACACATTCTTGAGATAGTAAACATAGCTGCTCTGCTGTTTCTGCTGCATTCAGTTGACCTTGATGGTGTGCAAAGCCCAGCTGCACATATCTGATAAGCACTGTGTCACAGTAACGGTCCTACACCTTTAGGCACCCCAGCTAATTCCAGGGCCCCTCCCTGGAATGCTCCTGTGTAATGGTGATGCCCTAACTGTGCCCACTCTGTGAGGCCCCTCCCCCTGTTCTCAGAGTGTTTCTATATTATGACAAGCAATTCCTTTCTTTCAAGACAAGCCTACCTGTCAATACATGACTCAATGTAAGCAACCAATTATGTAAAATTTTGTCACTTGCTTTGTACCCCCCACTTCTAAATTCTATTTAAACTAAGCTCTTCCTAAATTCAGTGCTGTTACCTTTGAGGAAGTATCCTGCAACAGTCCACTGGAGTGAAGATCCAGCAGTCCACTGGTATAAAGATTAAATGCTGCCTTGTTATTTCCTTGGTGCAAAGAGTCTTCCTTTCAGTTTGGTTTGCTTTGACTTAGCTTGAGAATTTTCCTGCAACAATCAAAAGAAGTAAGCAAAGAAATAAAGCAAACAGTTCACATAGTTATATACAACTTTTAGACTTTAATTTTTAGTATAGTCTCAGGTTCACAGCAAAAGTGAATGAGAAGTCCAGAGAAGTCCATCCATCTCTTATCCCCACATGGATGCACTGTCAGCTCTTTCCAGAGTGGGTCTGGGTGACAATCTACACTAGTGCACCATTAACATTCACATCATAGTTCACATTAGCCCTCAATCCTGACGTTCTGTCTCCTAAGGTGGACAGACTCTAGCACTCTAGTGTCCACAGAGAAGTTTCACTGCCCTGCCTTCTCCCCACCCCCAGCACCTGACATCCAATAATCCTTTTATTTTTTTATTTTAAAGAGAAAACAACAGAAAAACCAAGAAGCAATTTTAAAAACAACAACAAAAGCAAAATGACAACAGCAGAAAACAATGGCGATACAGGATTTCTAAACAACATGACAGGAATTTAACAACGGTGAGTATTGATAGATTCTGCCAGCCTGGGGCTTAGCTATCTGTAACATGACATCCACCCAACTTGGTACCAGGCTGAGAGAAGCAGCTTATCTCTCCAAGAGTAACTTCTACATTGTCCTTCTCATTCCAGAGATAACCTCCCACTCCCTTTTTGTGTGTGCACTGAGCCTTCTCCAATCCCAAGATTCCACAACCACCCAGTCACTCCACCCCCAGCCCCTACTAAATCTTTTTGTCTCCTGTTTTACACAGGCAGATGCTCCTTCAAACCAGCTCACCCAAACTTGTCCCCCAGCCATATCTAATAAAAATACTTCCATTTCTTTGTTCTCCCTAGAAGGTGTTTGAGTTTCTTCTGCAGCCCTCTTCTGCCCGCAATAAAGGCCTCTCTCTTTGTGTCTCTCTCTCTGTGTCTCTCTGTCTCTCTCTCTGTCTCTCTCTCTCTCTCTCTGTCTCTCTCTCCACTGCACCAAAAATCTTATCAGTTATATATTGTTATCCTCAGAGTAGTTGCTCAGGCTACCAGGGACAGGCATGCAAGACTGATCAAACAATATAAGTTCCCTTTGAGCAGTTTCTTTCCCTTTTACTATACCTATTGTAAATTTTGGATTTTACTACTCTTTCAGTTTCTTATACTAGCAAGACAATGCATTGTTCACACACACCAAGTCTGATTTATTTCACTTATGAATATGGTTTCTGGCTACACAATAATCCTTTCTCTGTGTCCACCATTCTGCCTTTTGTAGAATGTCTGACAGTTGAAATCATTCAGTCTCAAACAGTCAGAATCACTGACTTCCCTCCAAATAACTAGGGACAGTAGGTGAGTGGCCAGGGAAGCCCTGCAAACACTGGGCTCAGCGCACACTGAAGACACCAGCTGTTGTAACCTATATAAAAAAATAAAAATAAAACCCTCATAAATCTCCCCGGAGACAAGAGAAAGATCAAAGGTAACTTTAAGAGCAGAACAGGATGTTTGCCTAATCTAAACTTGCTTGTTAGCCCACCTGAACCTTGTTCTTCCCAAGAAATGTAACCACTGCATTCCTGTCTGTAGTGTGCCGCAAACCCCACCCCCTGCATTGTGAGACCAGCAGCTGTTTGCGATTTTACAGGATAAAAACCCTGCCCTTCAGCTGTTAGGCGCCCCGTCTTCCATATTGGCTACTGGAGGCTGTGTCAACAGGCCTGTGCTTTAATAAATAATTTTTTCCTTTCCAAATTATTTTCTCTGGCTCCTTCATAACTCAGGAAGTGGGGGACCACCATACCAGCGTGTGACTGTGCGGGTAGCAAAGGGCACAGCAGCAGCATCAAGGAAGGGCAGGAGAAGTAGACAAAAGGTAGCTGGTGGATGATGCGTTGTTAATCTCTCAGTCCAGGACAGACTACAGCACCAAAACAACAAAGATAATGAGTACAGAAAATCTAATCTTAGTGACCAATAAAGTGTGTGTCACTGACCTATTGATATATTAAAGTCTGTACTCTAAGAGTAGAGAGTGAATTTTCTTTTAAAGTGTTCATGAGGAATCTATCTGGGCAAAGACCATGTGGTAGGCCTCACCCTGTACCATTCATTGTCAGTGCCTCTGACTCTCCACATAGAAATGTGTAAGTACAATTACTACCCAAGTTATGGGCTCTCTAGAACTTTAAGTTTTACTAGAAAAACTAAATTTTCTGAAAAAAGATTGGGTGTTTCTATTATTTTGACTGAAAGTGGTTTCTTGAATTAGACACATAAAAACACAAACTTTGAAGGGAAACATTAGAAATGCAGCTACATTAAATGTTAAATTAGAATTAAAAATGCAAATATATGTATAAGAGCAGATATGATGAGCAAAGGGAAATAAAGCTGCAGATAAGAAAAGAATAGAAGTAACTCATAGCTTCAGTGCATTCCCACCACAATACTTTAACAACGCGTTTCTAAACCAATAGAGAAGAGATAAACAACTCCACATTAAAATATGCACACAGTAATGAAGGTGGATCACAGAAGAAGAAACCTAAATGCTTAATAAGCATACAAATAGACTTTAACCTCCCTAATATTCAGAAAACACAAAGGAAAACTGCGAAAGCCCTTCAGATGCTTCAGGTTGGAGCCACTTGGAAGCTTGTATACTTCACTGCCTTCTTGCTCCTGTGTTCTTATTTTCTGGTATGTGTGTATTTATTTATTTATTTTTATTTAAGATTAAAAAGACACAGAAAAGAAAAGCAAAAAGCAATACAGACAAACAATAAGAAACCAAATTCAGTAACAGGATAGGTTTACAAAACAAGATGAAAGGAATTTAACAGTGGCTGTAACATTGCACATTGTTACCTTCAAGGGGGTTGCTTAGATTAACAGACACAGACGTATAAAACTGATCTAAACATGAGTGGTAACTGTTCTTTTCCAACAACACAATTAGTAGTATAGTCTTTTTAACTATCATATATATAGGTACACACACAAATTTATGTCTTTTTCATTTTCTCTTCCTTCTTTGATCCTGTGTTCTTGATGCTCTGACATTCTGTGTCCTAGGTGGCCATTAATTCTCAGAAACAAGCACGTTCCTCCCTACAGCACCCCAGGAGCTGCCTTGCCTATGTAAATCAACCAGCCCCCAACTGCTGCAAACAGCCTCCTGTCTGCCTCTGCCCAGAGGAGATGTTCCTCAGCCTCATTCCTCCCAGGTCAAGGAGGCTGCAGACCACCAGAGGCAGACCCTGCCAGGGCCAAGGATCTCATCCCAACCAGCCAGCCCCTAGCCTGCTCCCACTGCCTTCCCCAGGAAACCAGGCAAAGGACCTGCCCTGCATCCAGCCTCTCCTTCAGCCCTACCCCTTCCTACCTCTCCCTCTCCCCTACTGGCCCATGGCCCCCTGATGGGGTGTGACCCCTCCCTCTGCTGGGCATGACAGAAAGTGTTTCCCAGCCCTGGTCCCCTGCCCTGTGGACCACACTCTGCCTGAAAACAATAAAACCTACATCTAAAACAGGTCCTAATGCCATTTGTTTACCAGAATGTAAATTATTTGAATCACCTAAGAAATTTGGAAATGTCTAGCAAGACTAAAGATGTGTGTGCCTTTCCGCTTATTATTCTCACTTCTAGCAAAACGTACCTACTGTTACATCTATGCACCAACTCCCCACAACAAATACTGTCATTACACACCGCAGACATGTACTAATAAACATAAAAATGAAAAAAGAAAAGAAAATTTTAGCTTGTTGTCCACACACACACACACAAAATACCAAACATACAAGAAAAATTCACAGGCAAAATGAAGTAGAAGCCATTAACTGTGTCTGAATAGGAGTAAGGATTTAAGAGCATACTACAGCAGTTAAGGAGTCTCGACCTGTGCGTCTGTGTTTCTGCTGTGTAAAAGCACTGCTCCGCATTTTAAACCAAAACGATGATAAAGCTGTGTGAAAACCAGAGGCTCCTGTGGAGTGCAGCTCTTCAGCAAGAAGCAGCAGGAGCAGAGGTGTGGGGAGGGGGGCTGGCCCATGGCCTGCACAGCACTGATGCTTGGTTTTCTTTCACAAAGCAGGAAGGACAGACCAGAAGCAAACTGCTGATGCATACTGAGCCTAGACAGATTCATGCTCAGCTCAAAAGATCTTCTTCTTAAAATAATGCATAAATTTGCTCACTAAAATGTTTCTATTTTGGCTATTCGAGGACCTTATGGTTTATTATTTTAATATTAAATAAAAAAGAAACCCTTGTTTAAAATTTAACAGCAGCCAATATACAGAACTTCACGTAGGTAGCTCCTGGCAAATAGCCACCCACCAGCACAGTGATGTAGGATTAAATTTGGCATCTTGCGCTCAGGTGCATGCAGTGGGTTCAAACCCCAGCCTAGGACACACAGGGTGTCAGCACTGCTCCTGCTGGCTCACTCACACCCTTCCCAACCCTCCCGTGTCCTACTCTGTCTTATACCCCTGTAGGGGAATTCATTCATGTCAGGTCAGTAACTGACTCCTCCCCAAAACATGAGCATCTGACCAAGACATCCTTTGACAGACTCCAACAATGAATCTCCATGGCATACGCCTTAGGAGGGCAATTACCCAAAAGCAGAACAAGAAAGGTAGGCATCTAATGCTTATGAGACGTGAGGAGATGGGTGGGAATGCAACACAGGGCAGCCACTGGGCAAAACAATATGGAGGCTCCTCAAAAATGCTGAACCTAGAATACCCTATGTAATGGTTGGTACCCAGATATCCCCCATAGCCTCACATGCTTATAGAAGGGGTTTCAGGAGTGAGCGAGTTGGGTATGGGATAAGCATCACTGTGTCAGTCCACTGTCGGGTGTGGAGCTGAGTGCACTGGTGAGTGAAATCCTCCAATTAACCTCCTCTTAAATTTGGGCATTGGGTATTTTGCCCCAGCAACGAGAAAGTAACCAAGACACCCAACAACCCAAGAATTCTATTTCTAGGCACCAAGCTGAAAGACTCGC